TATGATAAATGAGTATAAATGGGTTTAAGTGAGTGTAGTTGAGTTTAGAGTATAAAAGAGGATGAAATATAAAGTATTTGAGCTGAAATGAATTAATTTCTGGGCTTAAAAAGTGATTTATGGGAAAGTGGTATCAGTACCCATTCATCAGGTACTGATACATCAAGAGTAAAATTTGGGAAGGCATTTAAGAGGTACCGATACCTGACGAACATTATTGATACCAATGGGTACCGATACTTTAAGGATGATATTGATACCCCTTTGAAACGAAAATTTCAGAATGCAATATAGGTATCGATACCTAGGCATGGTACCAATACCATAGTTAATTAATGTATCGATACCCTATAGGGGGTATCGATACTAACATAAATAGAAAATGACATTTAGCCTTTCTTTTAGTTTAATAAATGAGAAATTAGAGTATGCTATTTGGAATACTGATATGTATAAATGTATGATTATGTAGACATCGAACGTAAGCAAGTTTCGGAATAATCATCTAATTAGGATTCGATCCAAAGAAGGAAATTATAGAGGTGGATTCGAAAACTAAGTGAGGCCAAAGTGAGTGCATACTATAGATATAGTTCAAATGAATTTAGACTTGTGATTAGTCTATTCTTATGTTAGTATTTATAGCATAGTAGTATGAACCTGCATATATGATAATCATTATAAATACATGCATACTTTATATATATGTGCATATGATTTGATGAATGAGATATAATCTTTATGAACATATTCAAATAACATATGTTATGGGATATGAGATTGACGATGATATGTACATACGACTATGTGTCAAATGATGTAAGATATGTAATTGTATGAGTATAAAAGATAAGTTATGTGATAAGATATATGTGACAAGTAATAGGAAAATGATTGGGAAAGTTTATATAAGCTATGTGAAAGTGATCTATAGGTCAATATGTGATATGTGATTTATGTGACAATGAGTTATATGAAAATAAATGCAGTGATTACAAGATCACAAGAGATAAGTCATAAGATGTGAATGATATGATAAGAAGTTGTGAGTCTATGTGATATGACCAAGTGACTAGGTGAATGTATGATAATATAAACAATAATGCCCATGTTATGTGTTACGAGAGGTAGGGGTATAGTTGGCATGCCAAGAGTCGAGGGTTACCTATGTCCTTCAGGACATATGGACAGTTTACCTATGTCCTTCGGGATATATGGACAGTTACCTATGTTCTTCAGAATATATGGATAGGTCCTTCAAGACATAGATTTCATATTCCACTTAGTGGATTGTATATGAGTTGTGGTGACAGCATATGTGTGCATAACCTCATAGTACTCATATACCTTAAGTTCTCAGGAATGTACATGGGCTTATAAAAGATAAAGAGTATGTGCATGATCGTATGCTAACATATTAATATTATTGATATTGATTCATATGTGATATGGTGAATTTATAATAAGTATAATTATCATTAGATAGTGGATTACGTGTTTGTATTTGTAGAAATTGCTTATTATATGTTTATGCCTCACTAAGTCTATGACTTAGCGTGTAAGTGTTTTACACGTTGGTACATGAAAACAAGAGGACTAGTCTTAGAATCAGCAGAGCAACATATCTTCACTCAAAGATCAGATCAGAAGTACTTTACACAATATATTTTGGTTATGTAATAAATATGTTGGCATGTAAATAGAGTCGTAAAGTATGCATGTTCTGACAAATTTTGTAATGGTTTGAACTTCAATATGTAAATACAAGTTCTATCTTAATAAAAGTTTAAATTTCCTATAGTTTTATAAATGTACATGTTTGAAAAGTAAATGTGATACCTCGGATGTGTATTCAGGTTGGATACGGGTTGGGGTGTTACAAAACAAGTACATAAATGCTATATTTCACTCCCAAAGACCCTTGTGAGGTCCCCAAACATGCTTAAAGTCTTATGTGTCATAAAAATGGCATAAATAAGGATTATATCATGCTTAAAATTCCAAAATATAAAATATACCATTGATATGCTCAATAAGCTTATTTCTTACATTCATGATATTCATTACATTAATATGACCCACAAAGAGTATAGAGAAGTTGTAAGTGTGGATACCTTGATTTATAGGCTAAAGAAAAGCTCCAACTCACTCAATGGAAGTTTTTTCATTCCCTTTTGACTTGGAGGCTTCACCCACTTCTATAACTAATCATGATAAGAAAAAAAGTTTCTAAATTAACTATGTAATGAAAATAAGGATTTAGAATACTTCCAATAACCTAAATCTAACAAAAATGACCTATAATCTTTGGATTTACTAAACCTCCCAAAAACCCTTTTTGGAAACCATAGAGGAAAATTTGTAAAAGGGGGCTTGAATTAAAGCTTGAATAATGGTGATTCAAAATCTTACCTTGGCTCAAGCTAACTAAGATTGAATTGCTTGAAGACTGGCTCTTAAAAGAAGGGAAATGGAAAATGCTAGAAGGAATAATGAGAAGAGTATTTGGTAAGATCATTTTGGGTTTGATTCATGTGAATCTGATATAAAACGGGGGAAAGTTTTCAGCTTAACTTAAAAATAAGTAAACTACTCTTTAAATCCCTACACTTTTAAGCCCATAAGAAAATCATCATATTTCCTAATTGTTTTGGACCCAACTCAGCCCATTTCCTATTAAACTTGGTTCAAACCATTTTAATGAATCTTTTGGGCTCTAAAATGAGTCTCGGGTTGACCCGAACTACTAACCCGGGTTTCGAGGCGTTATATTTTTTGATCTTAAAATTAATTGGATATTATTCATCTATCTCTTAGCTTTATAACACCTTTTGAATCACCTCAATCAGATACTGAGAGCTTGAGATATGATCAATTTACTGAAGACAGTGCAGACTGAAATTTTATTACAGGAATTGCATGAGAAGAAGGCTTGGACATTCAAAGGACTCTCCAAATTCACTCATTCAAGTGTATGGACGTCCAACATACATTTATTCTTTGAAATACATGAATGAGATGCAGTAAGAGCAAATTAAGACCTTATTTATCATCATTTGAAGTGACCCTTCAAATTCTTCAAGGAGGCATACATTGAATGCATACTTTATTCTTATGATCAAGGCATTCAATAAGGATAATTACATGAAGATAAGCATGGAATTTCAAGAGACACTTCCGTTGCGGACATATGGATGTCTACATTCATTAAAGGGTGCCTACATTCATCCTACACTTCATCATAGATAATCAAGCTTTGGAAGATCAAGGGTTTCTTTCATGTGGACAAATGGGTATCTACATTCTACCTAGAATTGTCTACATTCACCCTAAAGCTTCATCAAGTCTATTCAACAACCAAGGAAGAAGAAAAGACACAAGTTATTATGGAGTCTTTATTACCATAAAAATGAATACTTAATTCTTTGTTGTGACTTTTAAACTCTAGCCTATAAACATTATAAATAGGCATATTTCCTTTCATTGTAAACACATCTTGATATATAAAATTCCTCTTTGAGAGTTTTTTTTTCTAGTTCTTTTGAAGAACTTTATCGGCGTAAAGTTTGTTCTTGTGGTCTTTATCCATTTCATTTGTTTATAACGTTGGTTCCTAGCTCCTTTATAGTTAGAGGGTCACGTTCCATCCCTTACCATTTTAAATCATCGTTTTATATTGTTGCTTCTTAGCTCCATATAACTAGTGGGCCTCAATCCACCTTTTTTTTCTTCCGTACACATCCCACGCCATTAACATCAATCACCTTCACCATCTTTCCTTTTCATTAAACTACAACTTCCATCACCTTCCACACTATTTCCAAATCACTATAAACATCACAAATCACTATAAACATCACATAATCAATCCTTCATCATCATTTACATTCCTATCTTTCTTTATTATTTTACAAGTTACAATTTCAGGTTTTAAACAGGCAAGTTCATACACTTGCTAGAATCACGATCGGGTAACTTCAAATGATTCAGTAACATCACAATTGGAGTCATATCAGATACATATGTTGAAATATAAATTTAAGTATAAATCATATCATATTATATTGAAACAATTTTTTTATCAAAAATATATTATTAAACTTTAAATTTATATAATTGTAGCATTAAAATTTAAATTTTATTATATCAAGCATTGTTAAATAGTAAACAATATATATATAGACGATAAAATTTATAAATATGAGGCTGAGATAAAGATATTGATTTAATATAGAAGACGATAAGAATAGTTTATCAATAATGAAGGTGGTAGCAGAAAACGTCAAAGAGTCACTGTTCTCGCAATAATTAAAAATGAATGAAACATTATAATTTCGATAAAAACAATTGTATGATAAAATGAAAAGTTAATTTTTTTAATTTCCACGTTAGCATATATTAACACCACAATATAAATATATCATGACATTTGATTAATAAACAGGTTAAATAATATAATCAAATATAAAATTAAAATTTAATATCGTAGTTATATCAATTTATAATTCAATGACATTTTCTTGTTCACTTTCTTACATTCTTTTCTGCTATGTGTTTCATTTTGAATTAAAATTTATAAATCCTAACTAATTGTTTAAAATTATATTTTTAAAATAAATAGTTGGTCGATCATAGTATATTGTGGCTTAATGATGATACCTTAATTTTTTTATAAAAATATAATGCTTAATTATCGAGTGATCTATTTATTATAAAATGATAATATTAAAAATTATTTTATTATTTTAAAAACTTTAGTATTAAAAAGAAAATTTACGGATACTTTAATAGCGATTTATATAATTTATTGTTGAAAATGTTGTAGTGAAGTTATTTATAAAAAGAACATGGGGACCAAAAAATACTGTTGGAGATTATATTCCTTAATTTAATCACAGGGCATTGAATATAAAATTAAAAGTATTTACAAATAATTATTCTTTTGGCCAGAGCAATTAAATGAATCGGAATAGTTATTTCTTAGGACTAATAGGACTTAGGAGAGACGTGAAGCAACAATATTATCAACCGAAGAAAGTAGGAAAAACAGAGCTACCATTTTCTCTCGATCCAAACAATACACAGCAAAGAAAACACAAAATCAGCCATTGAAATTCGCATTACATAATCTGACCCAGAAAAGATGTCAAGAGTTTCCAGACCGTATCACTGAAGAAATCTTACTGGAGATCTTCTACAGACTTCCAGCCAAATCCCTGGGGAAATGCATGTGCGTTTCCAAAGCCTGGAATTTTCTCATCAAGAACCCATTCTTCATTTCCAGCCATGCCAGCCATCACTCAAAGCTTCGTTTCAGGAACAACAACAACAACGCAAATCTCTTCTTTGTCATGACTGCCCGCCATCAAGCGGAATACTCGTTGCACTTCGATGACCGTGAATTCAGTAACTACACCCAGTTAGAATACATGCCATTTGATAACCATCACTTTATTGTTGGTTCTTGCAATGGGCTGCTCTGTTTGATGGACTTTCAGTTTAGTTTCGATATCGTCTTCACCCTCTGCAACCCAATTATTATAAAGTCTATTACGCTCCCAAAACCATGTTTGCGTCACTTGCCGTATAAAATTTCCGTTGGGTTTGGGTTTGATTCTGTGAAAAAAGACTATAAACTTCTGAAAATCACCAAGGAAAATGTATTGGACAAGTTTGTTGAGGCCGAGCTTTACTCTTTCAAAAGGTATTCTTGGCGAATTTTAGCTCCGCTAAGATATGGTCTTTATTCTGATGATTTCATGGTTTTTGCGAATGGAATTGTTCATTGGCTTGCTTATGAAAGACTGGAAGATCAAGGGGTTTATAGATGTAAGTATTTTATTATGGGGTTTGATATGAGGGATGATGATTTCAAAGAGATTATGTTGCCTGGGAATTTGGGGAATTTGCCAAACCAGTCGGAGATATATGTAATTCCATATGAAGAATTGCCATCAATTGCTGTGATTGAGTTGGGGTGTTTACATACTCGGTGTAATATATTGGTGATGAAGAAATATTGTGTTGTAGAAACTTGGACTAAGATGTTCAGAATTGCGAATCCAGGCCCTGAGCCAATGCCAAGGGTTCTGGGGTTTATGAAAAATGGGAATTTGATATTGGGAGCTTATGATAATCTGCAACTGGTTTCCCTTGATCCTGAGAGAAGTGAACTTGGCTATTTTGGGATACTATTTTATGTTTCTACTTTCATGGAGAGCCTGGTGTTGGTTGATCAAGTAAATGGAGATGATAAGGTTGAGAATGATGTGAGGTCTGCGAGTAATGTTAATCATTCAATTGAAAGGGCAGCTGATGGTTTTACCAAACTTGCTGTCAATGAAGCAACCAATGATTCGAACGATGTCTAAGAATTGAGAAGCAATGGACTCTTTTGAGTATGGGAGAATGATTACAGCTTATCACAGGCAAGTATACTTGGATACTATTTGCATAATGCTCAATTTTGTTCATTATCTTTTGCATGTGACTGTAATCTCTGTATTTTGCTTAATTTCAGTACAGCATTCCTGGTTATAACAACGTACTTGTCTGATATAATCTATTTTTTTAATTTCCGATGTATAATTTCAGGAAAATGAAGAAGCAAGCCTGTGTATTGGGGTGTAGAAGCATAAAGAAGACATTGATATATATATATATATATGTTTGAGTACTAAAATGATTATATATATATTGATGTTTGTCATATGTTTGAAGCTAGAAATGGGATGATTGTTATTCTTTCCACGGCCTTCTCTTCTTCTGATTTCAACCTTTCAGTTGATATTGTCTGTTTGAGTACATGAACACGGCACCTTTAGTAGATATGAAAGAATTGGGAACTGAAACTTGAATATGATTGATTCATAATCAGGAATATTCAATGCTAATTACCTTAAATATCTTATATTGCAAACATCCAACAAAAAGTTGCGCACCAAACATGTAGTTTTACCTATATCAAACAACTCTGGAAAGCCCATTTCTCTTAAGATCGCCGATGACCTCTTTCACCTCGGCCATGGCCTCGATGATAAGGTTTTCTTCCACGACTAGATGGTGCACCCATGTTAAAGTTCTGGGATGATTCAAAGTTGCCTTTAACACCATTGGGATGCAAATTACAGTTCCCATCTACTGTAGGTCCATTTGTTACAATACCTTGTAATGCACTAAGGAGTTTTTGGGCCTGCATACCCATTCCAAATGGGTTTTGGTTAAAGCCATTTTGACCGGCAATCCCGAGCCAAGGTGCAGAGGCCGGTCCAGCAAATAAGCTTGACTGACCACTAGTTAAGACCATATTAGGTAGCATACTCAAACTCGGGTCAAATTGCTGCTGCTGATATGGCATCATGTTTGGCATAGATATTGCAGGGTTTGACAAAGGAATAGGCTTCTGTGGATAATTCTGTGAGAGCACCGACATCCCTTCTGCAGAAAACATGTTCAGAAAATTTGTATTCTGTGGATGCTGGACTGGCATTCCATTATTCCAAACTCCATTTGAAGGTGCAACAATACCAGAAGACGGTGGCATGACAGGAAACGGTGGGACAAAGCGGGATCCACCTACAAAATCCTGTTGTCCCACAACAGACGATGAACCATTATGATTGACCAAAGATGCCGAGACTGTGGATAGATTATGCTGATTCTGATTAGATGGAGGTTGACCCATTGCTGTTCTTGATGTTTGCTGGGCCGAGTTCCTATCGGTTTTCCAGGCTCCATTCTTACTTTTAACTTTCTTCTTATTGCTTTTCTGGTTTCCCACTCTCTGGTCATTCATGCATCTCTTTGTCATTTTTTGCATTCTCTTGTACTCTGCCTCTTTTTCATCGTCCGAAAACTCGGGATCATCTGACAACTCCTCATCATTCTCACCAGATGCATCATATCCTTTCTTGTGAAGATTCTTGTCGTTGAGAACATGATTAGCAAATTCGGGAACAAAAGAGATAGAAATGCCTTCATAGATCTCAGCAGGGACATCACTCTCGGAATTATACCGTACTATATAGTATGGGTTTTTTACAGGTCCAAAGATTTCATCCACAAATCCAAGTGGCGATCTGTTCATTGTTATCCAAAGAACCGAACCTTCGTTCAGAGGGTTGTGCTGATCTCTTCCTTCAACAACAACTTTGGTACCGACCATCTGTAACAGTGTAAGGAACATCATTAGACTTAACTCAGCAGAAAAAAGTGGCCAAGCTCTGAAACATAAGTATATGAGAGTTAATAAAATTTGAATAAACTTTACGGTTTGGCCTTTGTAGTTTGCAATAGACAATCCAACTTGAGCTTACCGACAAAATAACTCCAACAGGAAGCATTTGGTGATGGGGTCGTAGTTCAACATCCAGTGGTGGAACTGGGGGGAGAACCTGCCAAATTTAATAGCGTTTAATCAGAATATTTTTTCAACATTAACTCAGGCATCATGCCTTACCAAAATTTTAACTTCAGTAATAGCTATTTTGGTCATATGGTTTAGAATTACAAAGAGCATGCAAGAGAGGTCTAGACATAGGTTTCCAGGGGCGAGAACAGAGTGCGCTGAAAAGCCTGATCTCTGGCAAACAAGAATCACAATGCAATAATGTTCAACGTTTTGCACGGAACATGTACCTTTCAGTTTTGATGACTTAAACTCCAAACTTAACCAAATAAGGCTCCAATTGTAGACATGAGGTTAACGTAAGATTACCACATGAAAGTATATGAATGCAGAAATTTGCTACGAGACAGCCTTGAGTAATTTAAGTGGATATGACATAGTTTCATCACAAACTTCAAATGGATCAGAATTACAGAAAGAATACAAGAGATGTCTAGACATAGGTTTTCAGGGGCGAGAACATAGTGTGCTGAAGAGCTTGATCTCTGGCCTCTGCCAAGCAAGAATCACAATGCAATAAAGTTCAACGTTTTTCATGGAACATATATCTTTCAGCTTTGATAACTTGAACTCCAAAATTAACCAAACAAGGCTCCGATTGTAGACATGATTAATGTAAGATGCATGAAAGTATATGAATGCATATATTTGCTAGGAGACAGCCTCGAGTAATTTGAGTGGATATGACATGGTTTCATTACAAACTTAATTTGCCATCGTACAGAGCCAAAATAATAACTTTAACATACTAAAGCTTTACTTGGAAATATTAGACAACATTCATAACATAGAGCAATCATATAAACATAATACAAATACACAAGTATCTAAAAATCAAGAAAAAAATACTAAAATATCAAAATTCATATAAAATACATAACCAAAAGCTACAATTTGTCACCTCAGCTTCATTCTTAGACCTGATGGGAACTTTTGAAGCACCAGCATCCTCATCATCATCATCAACTTCCTCAAGTTCAAGATCTAACGCACTAAGGATGTCGTCTGTTTCCTCCTCCTCCTCCTCCTCCTCCTCCTCCTCCTCCTCATCGGTGGTTCCATCAACGGCCACCTCTTCATCACTATCTAGTATCTCACCTTCTTCAAGTTCATCTACACCATCCACCATTTTAACCTCCACCTTCATTTTTTCTTCTTCATCATCCTCCTCGTCGTCTTCATCGTCGTTGCTACTACTAGAAGATGACGACGAAGAACTTTCACTGTCGGACTCTGAACTACTACTTCCACTCTCTAGTCCATCATCCAAACTGACCTTCCCAATCACTTCCTCAATAGGTAAAGTCGGATTCCCTTCAGCTTTAAACTCTTCTTCTTCCACCTTCACTATACAGCCTGGTTCACCTCGAACCGGCTCAGACCCACAAACAATTGGCTTGAACACATCAAAATCTTCTCTCATAGACTCCTCAATAGACAAACAAAACTCCAGTTCTGGTTTTGACTCATCTTCTTCCACCTTTACTGTACGACCGAACTCATCTGCAACCGGCGCAGACCCATCAAAAATTGGCTTGAACCCATCAAAATCTGGCTCAGACCCATTAACGCCAAGGTCTCCAGCATGGGTTTTCTCAAAGTTAGCTTCTTTACCAATCTCCATAATGCTCTCAATATCTTCAAATTCACTCTCTTCTAACTTAATCCCATCTAAATTTGGGTAACCGTCAAACCACTCATTTAAATTGCTGCTGAACATTAAACTATAATTTAAAAGAAAATACACCCAAATCCTTGATTTTTCTTCTTTCTTAATGGAAAACAGGGAAAACCAGGAATGATTTTTCTTTTTGGGTCAAGAAACCCAAGAATGATACGGAGGAAAGAAAGTAGGAGCGAGTGCTAGGGTTTACTTTAGGGTTTAGGAGACGATAATATCGCCAGCGTTGTTCTTATATAATAGATTTTAAAAAATAAAAATAAAAACGATGGGAGGAGGCGAATATAGAAATTATTTTATTCTTATATCAATATTAGTAAACTATATTTACCACCACTTAATTATTATTATTATTATTTTAAATATTAATTTTTTAATCTTATTAATTATATCATTTAATTGTTTAAGTATTATCAATTGAACCATCAATTATTAATAATTGGCGAATAAATTGACATGATTATTAAATAAATTAATATAATTATAAATTTAATTTTTAATTTTTATATATTTTATAAATTTAATCATAATTTTAATTTAATTTAATAATTTTGATTAACTGATGATATTTTTTACAGTGATATTTTATTAATTTTTATTTATCTAAATTAATAATATTTTTATTCAATCAAGTGATGATATATGTAATATTAATTAACGTAATATTGATTTTTTATTATATTTTAATTAAATTCAAATAAAATGTTATTATATTCTTTCTAATTATAAAATCTTTATTTAAACTCGCTGGACTCTCATCAAATCAAGTTGATAATTTTTTTTTTTTTGTTTATCACTAATCATATAGGTTATTGATATCCAACAGCATCTTCAAGCTGGTTTTCTTGGAAAGCCTGAAAAGTTCTGTGTAACTAAAACTGGTTGATTCCAAGTAGATTGAACACTGTAAATCGTTCTTCTCCTTTTCTTTCTTCACCTACCTTTCTCTGTTCTGTTTCATTTCAACTGTAAGATCTCCATCCCCTCTTTTACTGGTTTCTGTTTGTAGTTATGCTTCATTTTAACTGTAAGATCTCCATTTTTCCTTTTAAAACTTTTGTATTTGTTACCTGCTTGTTCTGTTTGGTTATTTCTTTGTTTGTTTGTTCTTTTACTTCATTTATTTATTTTTGCAACAAAGCTTGTTCTTCTTGAGTACTTGTTTTACTGTTGCTATTTGGTAGCTTTTGCATACTTTTGTTTTGGGGATTTTCCCGGTATCCTCGTTTTTGGTAATCTGCACATTTGGGTTCATGATCAGCTTAGATAAATCACATCTGGGTCATTGTTTTTTCCTTAGGGACTTGAAGTGTCATCAGATATATTTTCATCTAATTTTCTCGTTTTATTTGTTCTTTTTTATTAACCTAAAATATTCATAATCATATTGTTGTTTTTGTTTTTAGTTTTTAGCTTGCATTTTCCGCTTTAAACGTGATTGCTGATTCTTTTTCTATAAAGTGTATGATGTTTGAGATTTTTTTTACGAACTGTAATTTTGCTTTGATTCTGAATTTATAAATTTTACGAACTGTTGGTGGTTTAACTTAGTTTTGCAGTTACCTTTGTTAAAATCCGTTTTATTACCCGTTTGGATTCCTTTTTCATAATTCCTAATAGCTTCGACTATAGATGATTACTTGAGGTCATGTCCTCATTTTAGATCTCATAGGGCATATAGGGGGAGGGCTCGACAGAATGGTGTCAATGAGACTAGACTTAGAGTTTGTTCATTGAATGTAGACACATTAAATGCTAGGCTGTTGGAGCTGACCGACGTACTTAGTAATAGGAAAATAGATTTTGCATGTATTCAGGAGACTAGGTGGAAAAGGGCTCGTGCCAGAGAGTGTAATGGGTACAAGTTGTGGTATTCAGGCATAGATAACGCTAGAAATGGGGTGGGTATCTTGGTATCCTCTAAGCTCAAGGAAAATATAGTCGAAGTTTGTAGATACCGGTATAGGATCATGATGATTAAGGTTATTATAGAAGAGAAAGTGGTGAATGTCCTTTCAGTGTACGCCCCAGACGTTGGCCTAGGTGAGGGGGAGAAACGTTGCTTCTGAGATCAGTTAGATGATGTACTTAGGAGCATTCCAGAGGACCAAAGAGTTTTTATGGGGGGAGACTTCAATGGCCATATAGGTAGTGCAACCGACGGGTTTGACGGTGTTCATGGGGGTTTCAGTTTTGGCAGTAGGAACGAGGAGGGGCGTACGTTGCTTAAATTTGCTACTGCATACGATATGGTGGTCACTAACTCCTTCTTTAACAAGAGAGATGTGAACTTGATTACGTTCCATAGCGGGGGACATTGTAACCAAATCGACTACATCCTGGATCGAAATCGGGATCGGTGGGCTTGCAATGACTGTAAGGTGTTCCCTGAAGAGGCATGTGCATCACAACACAGGTTGTTGGTTTTGGTGTTCCGCGTAAGCCATGGGCGGAGCACTCATAGGAGGGCTAAACTTGGTAAACCTAGGATCCTTTGGAAGAACTTACATGGAGCGACAGTTGATGACTTTAGGAGTAAAGTTTTGTCTAATACAGATTTTGGAACTATAAACTCAAATAATGCATATATGTTTTGGAAAAATATGGCAAGTTCCATCAGAGAGGTGGGCAAAAACACCCTTGGGTTATCGACATGGAAGCTCAATGAGCATAAAGAATCGTGGTGGTGGAACGAAGATGTCCAAACTAAGGTGAAGACAAAGAAAACTTGCTTCAAGGAGTTTCTACAATGCAATGACGACGAAGAAAGATCGAGAGCTAAACAAAGATACAAGGAAGCAAAGTGGGAAGCCAAGAAAACGGTGGCTAAAGCAAAGGATAAGGCATACGAGGAAATGTACAAGAGATTAGACACCAAGGAAGGACAAAACGACATCTTCAGACTTGCAAAATCCAGGGAGAATAGGAAAAAGGATCTAGGTAGAATTAGGTTTATTAAAGACAACAATGGTGTTCTTTTAGTGAAAGATCATGATATTAAGAGGTTTGGGGTAGTTGCTTCTTTAGCTTATTTAATGACGGTGCCTCTCCCTGTAGAGATAGTACCGTTGATGGGTCAGTCGACCATCATAATACGGCCAATGACTGCCCTACAAGTAGGATTGGGTTTGAGGAAGTCAAAATGGCTCTTAGAAAGATGGGGAGGGACAAAGCTGTCGGTTCAGATCAAATTCCTATCACTGTGTGGTTGGCCCTAGGAGAAGAGGGAGTTAAGTGGTTGACCAATATCTTTAATATTATTTTAGAGACTGCCAAGATGCTAGAGGAGTGGAGAGAGTCTACGGTGATATCAATCTTTAAGAATAAAGGAGATCCCCAACGTTGTGGCAACTACATATATATTAAACTAATCAGCCATACCATGAAGCTATGGGAAAGGGTGATAGAGGCTAGGTTGAGACAGGTTACTAGGGTTTCGGAAAACCAATTTGGCTTTATGCCAGGCAGGTCTACTACAGAGGTGATTCATCTGCTTCGACTGCTTATGGAGAAATATAGGGAAAAAATAGAGATCTTCACATAGCATTCATTGACCTTGAGAAGGCGTATGATAACGTTCCCTGCGATACGATCTGGAAGACCATGGAAACGAGACGGATCCCAACTTCTTATATCCGGGCGATTCGTGATATGTATTGTAGATCTACTACATACGTTAGGACTACAGTTGGTGACACCGAGGCATTCTCGGTGGAAATCGGACTCCACCAGAGGTCGGCTCTTAGCCCGTACATCTTTGCCTTGATTATGGACGATATCTATTGTGCGACACCAGACGGTGTTCCATGGTGTATGCTTTTCACTAACGACATTGTCCTAGTTGCTGAAACAAAAACTGAGTTGAATAGTAGACTGACTACCTGGAAGACTGCTTTGGAAGAAAAAGGTCTAAGGATCAATATTAAAAAGACAGAGTATTTATGTTCAAACTTCAGTGGGAACCAAAACGAGGAAGATCTAGAAGTATGCATAGAAGGACACGTTCTCCCCTCAAAGGATTGTTTCAAGTACCTAGGGTCTATGATACATAAGGATGGGGGTGTAGATGATGACGTTACACACCGTATAAAGGTGTGATGGCTAAAGTGGAGGGCTGCTACTAGAGTTTTGTGTGACAAGAAGGTGCCTCAAAAACTTAAGGAAAAATTTTATAGAATGGCAATAAGACCAGCGTTGTTGTATGGATCAGAATGTTGGGTAATCAAGAAGGATCACATAAGGAGGATGGAGGCCGTAGAAATGAGAATGTTTCGATGGGCATGTGGTAGGACTCTGTGGGACATGACACCAAACTCTGCTATTAGGATGTCCTTGGGGGTGGTACATGTATCTGAAAAATTGAGGGAGGGAAGACTACGGTGGTTTGGGCATGTCCTTAGGCGACAACCGTCGGATGCGGTCAGGAGGGTAAAGTCGATTACAGTCGACGGTGCCAGAAGGAGAGGACGGCCAAGACGAAAGTGGGAAGACTGCTTGAGATCTGATTTGAATGAATTAGCTCTTACCGAGGACATGACCTCTGATAGGAAAGTATGGAGACTTAAGACCAGGGTAGCCGATTAGTGCGGGTCACACCCATAGGGTGTAACATTTCTATCTTCTTTTAATGTCTTTGTAGTAATTTCCATGACTTCTTTTAATGCCTTTGTAGTAATTTCCATGACTTCTACTTTGTATACGTTTCTGTCATTGGAATTAATGTAGGCTTAGAACTAGGGTAGCGGATTATTGTTGCCTTAGAATTGTTCATTGGATTGCTTATGAAAGAGTGGAAGATCAAGGGGTTTATAGGTTAAGTATTTTATTATGGGGTTTGATATGAGGGATGATGATTTCAAAGAGATTATGTTGCCTGAGAATTTGAGGAATTTGCCCAACCAGTCGGAGATATATGTATTCCATATGAAGAATTGCCATCAATTGCGGTGATTGAGTTGGGGTGTTTACATACTCGGTGTAATATATGGTTGATGAAGAAATATGGTGTTGTAGAAACTTGGTCTAAGATGTTCAGTATTGCGAACCCAGGTCTTGAGCCAAAGCCAAGGGTTTTGGGGTTTATGAAAAATGGGAATTTGATATGATAATCTGCAACTGGTCTCCCTTGATCCTGAGAGAAGTGAACTTGGTTATTTTGGGATTCAAAGAAACACTATTTTATGTTTCTACTTTCATGGAGTGCCTGGTGTTGCTTGATCAAGTAAATGGAGATGATATGGTTGAGAATGATGTGAGGTCTGCGAGTAATGCTAATCATTCAATTGAAAGAGCAGCTGATGGTTTTACCAAACTTGCTGCCAATGAAGCAACCAATGATTCGAACGATGTCTAAGAATTGAGAAGCAATGGACTCTTTTGAGTATGGGAGAAGGATTACAGCTTACAACAGGCAAGTATACTAGGATACTATTTGCGTAATGCTCAATTTTGTTCATTATGTTTTGCTTGTGACTCTGTAATCTCAGCATTTTACTGAATTTCAGTACAACATTCCCGGTTATAACAACGTACATGTCTGACATAATCTATTTTTTTTTTTATTTTCCGATGTATAATTTCAGGAAAATGAAGAATCAAGCATGTGTATTGGGATGTAGAAGCATAAAGAAGACATTGATATATATATATATATATTGACGTTTGTCATTGGTTTCTAATATTTCGCACAACACAGAGGAATATGAGAGATTAGTTTGTAATTTGGGGACCATTGTAAATACCATACTTTCTTGGAGGTTAAACTCCATAAGGTTCACTTTGTTTTTTCACCTGGAAGCATGTGAAGGTGGCAACGACTTGAAGGGATTATGTCTTTTTGTTAATGATTCTATACAGAATTTTGTTGGTTTACTTGGTTGTACCCGCCGATGTTAACAAAGATAGAAATTTAAATGACCCAAAACCTATCTTTTTCTTTGGTTTTTCATCTTCACTGGACATATGGGAGGAGAGCAATCGCAGACGTATGGTCTCTTAGTCCTTAGCATGAAGAGGGAAGGCTGATTGGGTGTTTTAAAAAAAAAATAGAAATTAAAACACTTTTAGGGTGAATTAAATATAAAATTATTGTCTATTTGAAGTTTTAGCAATAGTTTTGGGATAAAATTAAATATTGACCTTTTTTTTATTAATATTGCCACATCATCAATGTAACATAGATGACATTGGAGTGATCATTTTGTTACAGATCGATAACGTTAGTGACCAATTTGTTATTTTTGAACCTTTAGTGGGGAAAATGAACACTCACTCAAACATTAGTGACCATTTGTATAGTTTACCCTCTAGGAAATTTAAATAAAAAATAAATTAGATAATATTAAATATTTATATTGAGATTAGATATTGCTGTCAAAATATTATCTTAGGATGATATATCAATTTTGTGTTGCTATTAGAATTATAAATATTATAATTAACTATTAATTTTAATGAGATGATAAAATATTTTAATAATGTTATGAGTTTAAATTATAAAATAAAATGAAAAACTCGTTTAATAATAAATTTCTTTAATATTTAATTGGAGTCGATCAATAAAGAATTTTAAAAAAATCTAAAACAAATAAAAATTTAATCAAATTAATTTTTTATTAGTTTAGGATGATTATAAGTAGTATTATCTGTTTGAGAGACTCTCAATCATTTAACAATGAAAGGTTAAATATACTATAGTTATTGATGCTCGATCTAGGGACCTCTAAAAAACAAAAATTCATTTTTATCATTGAGGTCACTTGATTCATGTAATCAAAATAAATTTTAAACAAGACACATAAAAAAGATCAACTACTTATAAGATTATGATATGTAAAACAAGATACAAGAGTAAAATTTTCAGAATATAAACACAAGGATTAAATTACATTAATTGATAATATAAGTTAATAAATCAGGTTACTATTGATCGAAACCAAACAAAACAAGCTTCTAATCTCATAAACAAATGTCAAGGCAGCAATAACAACACAAGTCGCTACGACTGCATAAATAAAATAAATAAATAAATAAATCCAGTTTGAATATCTAAAATCCACTCCAAAATCCAGCGCCTTTGGTCTCGGATTTTTCCGCAGTGGGAGGAAAATCGTATTCATAAACCTTGAATATAGTTTCAAGTAAGTAAACCCGATCAATGAATCTCATATAGAGTATCCGAACAAAAGAAGCAACAGCAATGATGTGTGCACACAAGTATTTGAAAGTTTGGAAGTATACTTACATGTTTTTTCTCATAAATTAACCACGTATACATTGTTTTATATGCCTTTCAACGGCCTCGCAAATTCTTATACACAAAATAATGACATTTCGCGAGGGAAGCATACGACACTCATCGCGTTGGAATGGTGTTGGAATGCTTGCAATTTTCTGAGGAGATTTGGGTGGAGTTGGCGGCTACCTTCTATTCAGTCAGTTGTTTGCCTTCGCAAAGGTTGCAAAAAGGGATGCTATTCGATAATATGTTGCTTTGACAACAGATGTGATATGTAAATGGCGCACTCTCTTTAGTGATGAATTTATTACCTCAGCCAAGTTCGTTGTCATATGACCATACCATCTAACCTTATCAAACGATCAAAGCCATTTCTTCTTTAAGATTCTAGCAAGGTAGTTAAAGCCATCAGAATTCATGTGTCTCAGTTCCTGCATCAAATCCTCAAACTCAAGTACAGAATGTGTGTAACCTATCAATAAAAAGTGAAATAATTAATATGAAATAATTTTGTAAAGATATAGTAAACCGAAAAGGGTGAAATATGTACCCATTAAAAGTACCATTAGACGCTCATCTTGACTCTTGAACTTCTGCAAATAAATTATGGCAATATGTCGTAAACAGTACTGGTGATAAATATTGGGGGTTGGTAAGACATGCCCATATGTTGGAGTGCATATTTGATACCAATGCCTCTGTCAGAAATAAGACAAATCCCATCATCTATATTCTACATCACATGTAATAGAACATATGTTTGTAAGTTCATAAGGAATAATTCCCAAGAGTCAATATCTTCTTTTTTGACAATTGCGAAGGTGATGAGAATAGTTTTCTGTTGCAGTCTTGTGCAATCGTCAATAACATTATTTGAGTGTATCGACCATATAACCAAGTGACGTGTCTGCTATTTGTGAGTACTATAAATGAGTGCGGATATATGTGAAAGTATACACAACCGAACAAGTAATACAGTGATAAGTTGAGTATCGTCTCCACAGGGAATTGGGGAAATCAAATAAGTTTGTCAAGACACTTTACTTTGTCGCCTAAGTAAAATTAGTGATAGTATGTATAAATGAAAATGCTGTGGCAAAATGGAATGACTGATGTGGAAATAGAATGGTAGTAGTGTGATAGCAATTGGATATGTTGTGGCAAATTAAATTGTGATGCGTGCAAACAAATGGAAATGTCAAGGCAAAATAAAATGTAGATACTGGTTCTAATATATAGGACTTTAGCTTTCTCACACGACAAGCTGCTGTGGAAGTGAGTGATAGGAGTCACTAGGAAAATCTAAGTCTATTTCTCCGAATGGTATCTCTTCTTTGCCTAGCCTGCTCGACGGAGTCTAATAAGGTGTCCTATGCTATCTCTAGTAAGGGACTCGACAGATTCAAGATGCCCTGGCAAAACCGATTGGCGTAAACCCCTGCAGTGATCCTATTGGTCCAGATAACAGGATATGTCTCGGCAATACCTTTTTGCAGCAACATTAACATCTAACCTATCGTTCTTGCACAACTCCTTTTAGTCGAATGAAATCCTAGCCTTATCTCTAAGGTGAATTAGTCCTATTTACTACCTAGAACCCTTTGTTTATGTAGTTCCTCCCTAATTTCTCTCGAATACTAAGGATATTTTGCCAATGTATTCTCTCAAACCCTAAGAACCTCCTAAGAAAAGGCTACTCTCGTAGCTCCTACAACCTTAAGGCATTAAGTATCATAAACAAAACAGATTAAAGCATAGAAAAGCAACCATTCATTGAAATATAAACTTAGACATCCAAGCGAACTCCTACCAAATAGGATTAGTTCGTGGTGGGGTTTGAAATAAACAAGCACAAAACAAGTTTCATTCGTTCCTTACAACCCAATAACCAAATATGAAAGCAAAGAACTAAGGGAATGAGGAAAAGCCTTCGACGTGCACTGTCGGAGCTTCCCTCAGCCACCACGAACTGTCCCCAGCAAACTAGCTCATCTCGGATGACTAGAACGCCACTCCTTCAAGCTTGTCACGGAGAAATTCCACGACAAGTAGGATTGACAGAGAAAAATAAGACATTCTCTCTCTAACTTTTAAGCTCAAAATGGAATGGAACCAAAAGTGCATAACATTGTGGCTTCATCCTTTATTTATAGGGAGAGAAAAACCCTAAAGATTTATGTCAAAATTCCAAAGATACCCCAAATCATGCTTAATTCATGTGAGGATCGGGCAGATCTGGCAATGGTGCTGCTGGGCAGCTGGCAATGATCCAACCTGGATGGTTGACTGAGCACCCGACAGACAACACTGATTCAGGTAGATTTCTTGGTCATGGTCAGAGATCCCATGAAAATAGGGACAACTAGCTTCAAAAATATCTTCTTTCATTTTGTTCGCTCTCGAAATGCTAATCCAACTCGGTATTTTCATTCTACTCGGCAATCTCCTTATGCCACGACATTTTCCTTTTTCTTGTCCTTGCTCTCAAATCCTGCACATCATTAAGCAAACACATTCCCCATAAGGCAGCACTGATGACAAATTAAAATGTCGTGACAAACCTAATTCCACCACATGCAATTATATGCTCCTAAATGCATCTATGTGGTCCTAAATGAGCTCTTAGACATTCAATAACTTAAGTGAAAAGATCCCAAAATATGATCTTTTTACGGAGTTATCACACCCCAAACTTAAGCTATTGCTTGTCCTCATGCAATGGATAGTATTAAGCAAAATAAAAATACCATGGCAAGTTTAGAAACAGAATAGTTATATGGGACATAATTTTAGCCCTCAGAACATTTGGCTTCAACATGCTAGACTAGTTTGAGAAATCAAGTACTGTCCCCTTGGGCAAGATTCTTTGTGTGGGTGTGTGCGTGTTTGTATCTAGTCCATACTTAACAAACCTAAAAATTTTCTAAGCAAGTTTTCTTGTTTTGCCACGACATTTACGAATTTTACTCTCACATTGTTTTTTTTTTTGCTACGAAGGGAGTCAGCCCATCACACCTACCATTCCACACTCTATGTGAAAGGTAACATACCTTCCACCCCCGAGCTAGTCAAGTAGAGTCATCCCGTTACTACGTTCATTCACTCATATACCATAGCTACTGTTTGTTTATTTGCAGTTTACAAGAAATGCTATGGCATAGTGGAGTGTCCCTCTACAGTTATGTCATAGCATTTATTCACAATCTCATTTTTTCTTTTTTTTCTTTTTTTTAGAGTGGGGTTTTCATCATTTATGCCAAAACATGCAAGAATTCTCTTATAAAAAATTTCTAAGTTTCGTAAGCATGAGAAACATATAATCGTGTATTCAAGGGTTTCAAAGAAGCAAGTCCTAGAGTTGGTTCTATCATCCTCAACAGTCATGTACATTTAATCCGGGCCATCAAGAATTCATCATCATCGGGCATCCTTAATTTATTCTAGAAAACCAATTCAACCACTTGCTAATGTCATGGCATATTCATTCTACTAATACTATCATGCAATGATTTAAGAACCCTACATTCCCCAAACTTGAGAAAAACATTGTTCTCAAAGCTTACTAAAAACTAAGTAAAACTAAACTAAATGCTATGAAATGTAATGCAATGCAAGGTACCTTGACTTTATGTTTGTGGTAGTGCGGTGATCGTGCGACGTGTGCGCTTCTAAAATTGTGTGGGGCTAGAGTGTTCAAAATCTGATGCTGATACAGTTGAAAGTTGTATGTACTCTAACTTTGCAAAGAAAAA